AATCTTTGTAAAAACAAATATATTTTTATGAGTATAATTTATTTTTTAATATTATCAATATTTATTTAATTTTTAATTTTTTTTTCATGTACATAAATTATAATATAAGGTGTTTACATTGAATTACTAGAGACTTTGTTATTAATTGTTAGTAAAATTTTACTAGTATGTTGATGGATTTAGTTTTTTGTTGCCAAAAAATATAGCATATGCAAAGAAAATATAAATAAATAAATAAATTTAAAAAATAAAAACTTGCATTAATTTTAAAGACTTTAAATTAAATAGCTTCACAACATATAAATATAAAGACCTTTTCATAATAATAATAACAATGAAATTGCCAAATCTTATGAAGATTAACCTTAAAATTTTTATTTCTTAATTATGTAGTAAATATTATACAAAAGCATGTTGTTATTGTAAAAAATATTATTTTATTGATGATAAAGGACACCAAAGATCTTTTTATATAAGTTGCTAATGATTTGGTATAGCTATGCAAGATGCACATACACCTATATAAATATAAGGTTCTTCTTTAAATTTTGATTATTATTTTAAATATTTGAAAAATATTATATATCTTGTTTATTGTTATTTTTATTATAATTTAAGTCTTAAATTAAAACAAAATTATTTTTTCTATAGTTTAGAAATTTTTATTTATTATCTTTTAAAATTATTACACACTAATAAGTTGATTTTTTAATTACAAGTTCAAAATTTTGTTTATTAAATATAATTTTAAAATTAAAAATAATTTAAAGTTAAAAAAATTATATATTTTTTTATAGATCAAATGCAAAAAATAAAATTCTTATATTTAGTGCAATTTTTTACTCTTTATTATTACTTGAGCACCCTGAAGCATCCTAATTACTTAAAAGCATTTAAAGAATTTACAATCCCTCAAAACCACTACCTTTTATATTCTAACATACAATTTAGATTTCTATCACTATTTTTTTAAACCAATTCTCATTAATTTTTATCTCATTATATATGTGTGTTTGTATATATATATATATATATATATATATATATATATTAAATTCACTTTATTTTTTTATATAAATGATATGGTAAGACAAAATAATATATATAAAAATCTAAGTTTTAATTATTCATCAATTTTCATTATAATAATTTATTAAAAATAAAATATGCATATATATATATATATATATATAAGAAATCCATTTAGCAAGTTAAATGATTGTCATAATTAATTAGCTATTGAATCATTTCTCAATATACAATATTTTCTATGGATCTATAATTTGTACTTCCTCATTTAGCAAGCTAAGTGGATGTGAGAGTCATTTAGCTACTCAATCTTTTCTTAATATATACTATTTTCTATGGATCTTTAATTCATATTTTCTCATTTAGCTAGCAAACATCTTTGCCTTCTATTATTGTGGATTGTTTCTTCAAACAAATCACATGTCAAACAACAATGGTGTATAACCAAATGCTTGCTACTAATGAATCACTTTACAATACACAACATTAGTTGTGGATTTTCTATTTGTGTAGCAAACAAAGACATCCGCAATGCATGTGGTTCAAGAAAGTATAATAAGAAAATATAAAATTATATATATATATATATATATATATATAAACATCAAAAAAAAGATGTGCTGAGTTCATTCACAATACAAAGTTGTGAATGATACATTGAATTCTTTCATGTTAAAAAGAAATTCCATCATATGACACACAAACATTTGAATATGGAAAAACAATTAGAGCATTGCTCCACTATAAGGTTTTTATAAGGATGAGTAGAAATCAACTACATCTTTGACCAGCATTTTATAATATAATGCCATAAAACTCTTTTTGCTTTTTTGCTTTGTTTTTACAAACACCATATGCAAAATGATATTACATAATATTATATTCCAAAACACAATTATAATTATGAAGTGAACTGAAAGATCTTATATTTTATGATTTTGTTTTGTTTTTTTCAGTTTATAGGATAAAATTTAGATGTTTTCAAGATAAATATCAAAATTTAATATTTAATATTTTGGAAAGCAGAATTCAAGAATGAAAATAAAGATATATATATATATATATATATATATATACACACTTGAGTTTTACATTAATGTCTTAAAATAGATTACAATAAAAATAGAATCAAAATTAGGGTTGCATTGCATTGTGACATGGAAAAAACACAGAGAGCAGGCCTTAGTTAACACACATATTGTTAACACACATTCAATCAACATTCATATGTTAACCACAGCCAATTTTACTGGACAGATAGACACCATTTGTTTTTTTGTGTAAAGTAGATAGTTAAAATAAAATTTTACAAACTTATGCCACCTTTAGTATAAGCAATTTTGTTTTGATGGGTTATCAAATCTAAAAAGTTAAGTTGTTACTAACACATCATAAGACAAAAATGCTATTGCAGAAAATAGTGCAATTTAATATAAAATCTTGATGTTTTAAAAATGTTATAAATAGTAATTAGGAGTTTTATTTCAATCTTCTACAAAAAAGCAACAATTTAAAATTTTACCAATATAACTATATATTTCATTTATTTATGTTATTTTAATCATAATACACAATAAAAAACTGAAATAATTATACCTTAAATTAAAGAAAAACATAAATACATTTGTACATCAAATAACCTCATTTCTGTTTTATGTATTTTATAATTGAATTTTATTTATATATTTGAGAAAACAAAAACATCTCTACAAGATGTTGGAGTAGAATACTTTAAATCTTATGCATAATCACTTTTGTGTTCCACACATGCAAAAGTAAACACACACAATACTTTACATCTTTCTCATGAAAAAAACTTTTTCATCCCAACAAAAAACAACCCAAAAAGGGGAATCAATTGGAAAGTAGAAACATATTCAAGTTATTCTTGCAGTGCTTTTCTGTTTGCGTTTCTTCAACTTCAATCTCCGAAACTAAATTTGACAATAACCATCTGATAACACTGGCATTCCTAAATGACAGGTGAATGGACAAAACTGTATTGTTATTGCTGTACCAAATCCCCCCTTTTTCTACCTTCTTAATAAGCGTTGAAAAACCGATACGTCAATTGCCCCTTTGTTGCGAGTCCCCAGACACAACAACTCTTTTCCTGAGGGCGAAATGAATTGATGACCTTGAAGGCGTTAGAACCCAACTAATTGAGGCTCATCATAACTGCTCCACAAGGACCATAGAAATCAGAAGAAGGCAATACACACAGCAACTTTCAATGCCTGTGATACTGAGAAAGCCTCACTTGTTTGGCTTGCTTGGCAGTATACTACTACAGAAGAACAGCAAAAAATATGGCGTTTGGAAACAGATGCAGAAATGAGCACTGTGTTGTGCAGGTTCAAGGTTCCAGAGGAGGAGGAGGAGGATGATGATAATAATATTATTATTATATGATTTTGTGAGTTCACTCTGACAGGATAGCCCACCAACTGAACTGATTCGTCACCAATAACTGACTCTTATCGACGCCTCCACTTCGTCAAAATAACAATCACTTTGTCTCTCGCTGGCGGTGGGATAGTTAAAGTCATTTCTAGCTTTGCATCGTGTTTGGAAAAGGGTGAAGAGATGAGAAGGACCTACAGCAAGGAAACAGTTGAGATGCGAGAGAGAGATCTCACGTTCAATGGAAATGAGAGTCCAGCGTCAGAACTGTTTGGTAGAATTCCAAAAGGACCAAACAAAAACAAAGATGGATACGTCGCGGTGCCAGCGCTGGCGACTGAAACGGTGTCAGAAGGAGCTGCAGATGGAGTAATGAGGTGCACACTATTGATAGGGATGGGTGGTGGCCTCGAATAAGTTCAAACCCAGCAAGTAGTGTACTGGTCGCAGCGCTGTGCAGGCTGCTGCTGCTGCTGCTGCAGTTGCTGCAGGCAGTCATGGTGGGCGAGATGAAGGGGCTGTCAGGGATGCACATTAGCTTGTGAGGAGAGGTTCATCGTTGCATGAGCAGCAGTAGCAGCAGCATCGCCGACGAGGCTCATCAGCTCCATCTCTGAGGGACTAAGGCTGGGTCGTTGCCTGTCCCTCACCACGATGGCTGCTGCTGCAAACGGAAACGCTCCCTCGCGTGAAGCGCGTCGGATATGGAGCTGCTTCCATGTTCTCGACCAACTTGTCCTGTTGCACTTTTTTTTTTGTTCTGTTTTGTTTTGTTTTGTTTTCTTTTTTCATATTTGGTTGAATGATTTCAGTTTTTGATGAATTATTGTGGAAGCCCTTGGAGGCTGGAATTCAGTAATTTCTTTCCAGCGTGTTATGATGATGCCCACCTGATTTGGACCATTAATAAGATTGAGGGAGCATTGTCTATCTTTGGCGCTTTATTGTACCTTACATAGAGTCCTTGTTTTGAAAGAGGATCAACTACATGAGTGGGAGTACCTACGGAGGTATATTTATACACAAGTCTGGTTTGTTGGTGCTCAGTGTACAATATCTGCGCAGTTTTTTCTCTTTTTTTTTGAAAAAGTATTCATTAACAAAGAGAATGAAAACGAGGCTCGCTCATGTGGTCGGAGCATTATCTTTCAAGGAAACCGACATAAGCTGGAACGCATTGTCCCTCTCTCTCTGCTGAATGCACTGTAATCTTTGAAACAAATTGAGGAATCTTTCGGTGGAGGAATTTCGTGCCCATCTCCAATGCTCAACGTGCAGTGTTTCTCAACACTACTTGAGTACAAACAACCTTCCCCGTTGATGAGTTAGACTGGCATCTGTGAAAATATGTGATGGCCTAGTGTGGCAGTGGTGTAATTTATGCTCTTATCTCTAGAGTTCCCAAAGTTTACGCGGAAGGTCACTTGAAAGGTAAATCTTTATATTACCATTTAATTCATCTGCCCATAAGAGTGGAACAGCAGATCCTGCACTTATAGCTGGATTCTCCTCAAACCCTCAGAGTTTATTGAGCACCCAGGTCAATGTAACAAAATCAGGTTGAGCAGAAGAGAAAAAAGCTGAAGGTAATCTTACCCATGGCCAGTCAGGTGTTGCCTCTGATGAACTGGGTCTAAAGGGTTAGCTTAATACTTAATAGCACAGCCTTGAGCACAGCTACAACATTGAAGTATCGCCCTTGTATCCTACATGAAGGGGTCTCGCAACTGTCCTTCCTGTGAAGTCCACACTCTCCCTCCCGAAATTGCCAGACAGTGTCATCTCGCAGAGCCAGTGTCTTCGTGTCATCAGCTCTGATCTCAAGAGGTTGCAGGTTGAACCATGGAAGTTGATTAGCCTGAATAGCGGAGTTTGTGTGCGTAGGGAGAGTTGATGAATGACTCTGCTTCGGTGAGGTTGGAGGAGTTGGAGCCGGACGCTATTTCATAGAATTGATCAACTTTCGCGCATCTTCGAGAGGTTCCGCGGGCTTTGGTGAGTTTTTGCGAGTATTCTAAGGCCTTGGTATCACATGATTGTTGCGTATCAGCTAGTTGCACTCGATGTGATTGTGGGGCAGCATCCTGGAGTCTGAGTGCACTGTAGCAGTGGCTCGTGTTTCAGCTCGAATGCCAAGCAGATAATTTAGTTTCAGGGTTTGAAGGAGCTTTGACTCGGAACTGTTGATTGGCATTTTTTGCGTAGCCTGGCACAAGATGCCGATCTTTCTGATAACCAAGAGGCGAAGTGAGGCTTCTTGTTTATTTGTTTACTTGTTTTTGTTCTTGTTGATGATGAAAGCTAGTTAGCTTTTGTAATTTCGTACAAAAAAACAAACAATTCAAATTTTCGTTGTGATCAGGAACGAGGAGAAATGGCGCCGAACTTTCTGCAAATAATGCTCATACTAGTTGCGACTCTTCCGATGTGCTGGGCGGCGAGGCCAGTGGAGACTTCCGTTACGATTGTCTCTGGTGAAAACGCTGCATCGGCTGTCTTTGAAAGGTAGCTCACACATTGTAGTTCATTACTCTCATCATTGGTCAATGTTCAATGTTTATTTTTAAGCAGATGGTTGAGCTGCTCTGCAAGTACCTACATACGACTGAAATATGCGAGGTTTTCCTTCGCAGTGATATTCCTTCTTCCGCCCACAATTACACCCGAAGACTGCTGAAGGGGTGTGGCACGGGGAATCCAATCGATGACTGCTGGAGATGTGATCCGCATTGGAGAGCCAACCGGCAGAGCTTAGCAAACTGTGCCATCGGATTCGGTAAGAATGCCATAGGCGGCAAGACTGGCAGAATCTATGTTGTGACGGACGACAGCGACGACGACGTTATCGACCCTGCGCCAGGCACACTTCGCTATGGCGCAATGCAAACCGAGCCACTGTGGATCATCTTCGACCGAAACATGAACATCAAGCTTAAGAACGAACTCATCGTGCAAAGCTACAAGACCATAGACGGGCGTGGTGCCAATGTGCACATCGCCGGAGGAGGCTCCATAACCATTCAGTACGTGCACAACGTGATCATTCACGGTGTGCATATTCATGACATCAAGCAGACAGGCCCCGCAGTAATTAGGGGAAGTCCCAGTCACTTCGGGGACAGGGGCAAGGCTGACGGTGACGCGATCTCCATTTATGGGTCTCACGATATATGGATTGATCACAACTATCTCTCCCATTGCACCGATGGCCTCGTTGATGTAACTGAAGCTTCCACCGCGGTGACTATCTCCAACAACTACTTCACGGACCACGACAAGGTGATGCTTTTAGGGGGCCACCCGAAGGACAGCTTCGACAAGGTCATGCAAGTGACGGTGGCATTCAACCACTTCGGCGAAGGCTTGGTGGAGCGCATTCCAAGGTAAGGTATCCCCAGTTCCCTGATCTCATCTAGACAATCCGTAGGCACTACTGCTCTGCTACAGATCTACAGCCAACTAAAAAACACAATGAAATTTGGGGTGTGCATTTTTTCTGGCAGATGTCGATTCGGTTACTTCCACATTGTGAACAACTTCTATAGCCCATGGCTGATGTACGCCATCGGGGGGAGCGAGAGTCCGACCATCAACAGCGAGGGCAACTTCTTCATGGCTGGGTCCTTCAAGGAGGTGACGAAACGCATCGAGGACGATGGCAGCAGCATCGATGGCTGGGAGAAGTGGAACTGGCGGAGCTCCGGCGACATCTTCCAGGACGGCGCCTTCTTCACCGATTCTGGCTCTGCAGGCGGCGGCAGTTTCTATGCCAAGGCCACTAGTTTCTCCGCTCGTCCTGCCGCTTTAGTTGCCTCCATGACCAACGACGCCGGGCCTCTGATGCTATAACCATTTTACTCACCAACCACACTAGCACAATGCTGCCGCATCACCAGTCGACGGTGGTCACGTAGATATGAAAGATCGTGAGAGGTCGAAGTATATATATAGAAAATATTCAAGCAGTTTTGAAGTAATCAACACTGTGGATTTGTATGATAGAGCCGAATTTGTGGCTGCTGTGGGAGGTGGTCTCTCTCTCGTTTGTGAACCAGGCTGTTGTGCAGGTTTGCATACAAAACGATGTGATGTGATATGATATAAAATGCTCGTTGAACAAGTTTTCGTCTTGAAGATGGGTGTGCCTTTGATATTGAATATGAACATTGAATATGGATCTTTCTTTCTTTTAGTTAACTAGGAAGAAAAGAATGGTGTTTCTACGACAACTCACAATATTTATCTTGCAATATCAAAAAACAGTTTTTTGATTTGAATGGATCTTTGCAAGTATTATATAAAAGCTTTAATAAAATCTTATAAATAAAACATATTTAAAGTAGTAGTTTAAATATTTTCTATACATATATATGTACTTTATATTTATGTTAATGTATAAATGTATTTATTGTTTATAGACTATTATAAGTTATTTTATCCATCAAAGAAAATAAAGTAACTGAAATTTTAATTACTGATATGTAATTATATTTTGTAGGTGTTTTAAAAAAGATTGAGACTATAATGAGCTGAAGAAGAAGAGAAAAAGAAAACACTTAAAGAATCCAAAAATCACACATCATATATTGATTTTTTAATTATATTTTTGGTTATTACTAAAAACATAATCAAATTTTTACATTGATATTCTAAGTTTAATTTAATTAGAATAATGTGATTAATTTTATAATATATATATATATATATATATATACATATGTGTACAAATATATATTAAAAAAATGATAGAATTGTATATATAGAAAGTGATTAAAGCCACATCTCTTTGCCATCTCACAATTGATTTTGTCCATCTTCCATCTCTATCGTTCATTTCTAATTCTATGTCTCCATTTCCTTTTTCTATTTCAAATCCCTCATCTATGTTTTCTACTTCTTATTCTCCTCTCTTATTCCCTATTCCTTGTTCTTGTCTCAAATTCCCTCCATCTTTGTTCTTTAATTACTTACTGCCTTCTTTGAGCCTAATATCAATGTTTACAAGAAATACATGGATATTACTAGATTACTTGAATACTTTTGGCATATATTACTTAGATCAATAATAAATGGAGGTTAATTTTCTAATAATGTGATTCTTTGAGGAGATTCTACAAAGGATTAGTAAATATTTTATGATCAATTGGCTATCAACAATTGTGAGTCTTGCTACCAATTTTTGTTGGTATATAACTAAAAAAGATGATTGGTCTTATATTTATATGCATAATATTATAGTAATTTCAAAGACCTAATAACCATTTTTGGTAGAGAGCAATGATCAAAGCAAATTACATGTGTAGGAAATCTCAGTGGATTTTTAACGTAGCTCAATTTTTTGTCATGGACATATATAGGTATTTGAGTAAATATCTATATAATTAGGTAGAAGTAGGTAAAAGTAGAAAAAATTAGGTTAATTTTATAATATCTTTTAGAGAAGCTTCTTAAAAACTTCATAAATGTTACTTGACTCTACATATATTTGTAGTTGATTGGTAGATTAGAAACTTGGTCAATAAGTTAATTACATATTGACAGCTTGTTAAACAAGCTAACTATAAAGTGCACATATAAAAACTTGCCTTGCAAGTTAAGATACGTGTCTTGTAAAGTCAACATATTTTGGAGGTCCTGTAGGACATTCTTACATAATTCCTAGTTAAGAGTATAAATGGAGGCAAGAATGAAGCCTTCTTCATTCTTGTCAACACCTTTCTATTCCTTAGTCTTATTTCAAGACTTTCTAGTCTTCTTGTTTTTAGCAATAGTTATTCTAGTTCAATATTATATCATCTTTGAGTGACTTTCTAATTCCTTTCAGTGACACAAGAATATATTGAGGATTTTCTTTCTTTAAGATTCATGTCCTTGACACTTCTATTTATATTGGCAAGTTAATTTAATACTCTCACTTGCATATATGCATATGTGAGCTGTAGAATCCTAGAACTTAAAGAAGTTAATATGCAATAATGAAATATAAAAGTAATATATATATATATATATATATATATATATATAATATAGATATTTAAAATTATTTCTAGTACAAGCCAATTATTATCATTATATTAGTAATGTACTTCAAGTTAAGTACATTTATCTATAATACAATGGACTATATAAGCTACAACTTTTGTATTGAGATGCATGATTTTTTCTTTTAGACATTCACTCTATAATTGTTCTTCTCTAATCCAGTTGTTCTATACAAATCTAAAAGTGAAATGAAAATATGACTATAAGAGTTTATGCAAAAAGTTATAAATTTAATTAATTAATTAATTTTTTATTAATTTATAAATTATTAAGTTTTTTTTTATTAAATCATGATAAGAGAATAATAATTCTTTACAGCCAGCTTACTATAAAATACTTGGCAATCCTCCATATGACTTTCTTAGAGGATTGTATTATCAAGAAATTAATTCTATATCAAGGACAAGAATTTAATGAATGAAAATAAATAAAAGAGACTTTTTTCAAAGAAAGAAAATAAAATAAAAAATAAAAAATAAAAACTAAAAATATACATTCAAAAAAAATTAAAATAACTATTGTCAAAATACAAGAAATCTAAAGATCCTTGAAATTAGACTAAAAATAAGAAAGTAGTTGATAATAGTTAAAAAGACTTTACTCTTTCTTTCATATATACTATCTAATTAAGAACTACATGGCGACATTCTATAGGACCTCCAACATATATTCAATTTGTAAGACATATGTCTTATCTTGGAAGAGAAGTTTTGTATGTGTGTACTAATTTATTACGTATTATCTTATTTGAGAATGCACAAGGCATCTGGTTGTAAAAGGTGAAGTTATGTTTTATAAGTATCGAAGAAATTTTAATAGATTTCATTCATATAAAAAGAATGTAATTTGAATTTCAATTCAAAAGTATTTAAAGCTAATACAAAGTGCTCAAAAATACTCTTTTTATTAATCCCAACCATGAACAAACTCCAATTACCTTATTACTTTCATAATTAGGTAATTTCAATTTCTCTTTGCATGCCTTAATTCTAATCAATGAGCTTTAGTAAACTGTAACTTCTAATATAAGTATCCACTTGATACAAAAAATTTTATACAAATGCCACTATAAATCTTTTACATTCTTAGAAAAATTTAATCGAATCCAACTTACTAATTGTCAAAAAAAAGTCCAAAAAACTGTACTAAGATTATTTGGTTGTCAACTTAAAAGTTGATGTAGATATTTTAGTAGTAATTTCTCCTTCTTCAATCATAACTTCAATTCAAAATTGGAGTATAGCTTGATCTTTAAGTCTTCTAACACCATGTCAAATTTCATTTTTTTTCAATTAGTAGTCTTCAAATATCATAGAAACCTTATTTAGCTTCAAATTGCCAACTTTTGATATCTTCTTGTCACGAAAACCACATATCTTTCAACCATAGTACTAGATTAATATAAAATTTTATATACACTTAGTATATTTAATCAATCAAGTATTATCAAATTTTGAAGTATAGATATAATACTAATTGTATAAACTAGCTGAGAGTGTTAGCCCTGATTGTATTGCATAAATCTAAAGACATCAATACAAATCCTAACTTTGAACAAAAATTACCAAATTGTCTCAAATTCCATAAAAACAAACCTTATGCCTCTAAAACAAGCTTAAAGTTAGTTCCAATTATTGATTTTCAATTCCAATTTTTGATCTCCAAATGCTTCTATAATTTATCCTAGGTAGATATTTCAGTGGCTAGAGGTTTGATTTTCATCACGTCTCATAAACAGTCAATTCTTAAGTATCAATTCAACCTATCATAGATTTTTTTTGGTCTGATCCTATCCTCAATTTCATCCTTGTATCAATTATATTAATTATTTATCTCTTTTATTCTATTTCTATTAATTTATGGCCTTTTTAAAGTAATAAAAGAATTTCTATAGCCTAAAAGATAAAATTACTAACCAATATTTAATCTATTAGCTATTAAGAGGCCTAAAATAATAGATTAATAAACTAAGAGGCCTTTATAAAAGCTATCTTTAAATATCTTGAATTGTTATTGAACCAAGATGATTAAATATTAATTTAAATTTTATTTTTTTATTAAATTTCATGATATAAACGTGTTACAACATAATAATGTATATAATTAATTTGAACCACAAGCTACCAACATGTACGATACATATTAATGTATTTTTATCTACTTCAATCTATTCATATTATCTTAGTAATTATTAGAGTAAATATATATGTCTGCAATATTATTCTCTCCTTCTAAGAAGAAATTCCATGAGAAGTAATGATCACATGTTGATGAAGTTTAAGATATAATAAATTATATTTGTCATATACTCTGATCTTTGTTTCTTTTGAAGGTAGTTGATAGGTCGTCTCAGCCATCAATAATGTCCTATTTTAGAATAAGTAGACCATCTTAATATTTGATCATTATTAAGACTTTTGTAACTTTTAAAAAATATATATATTTGTAATACTATTAGGAGGTTGTTCATACCTCTAATAAAATCACAAAATATTTGGAATTTCTTTTAAGGTTGTGATATAAAGCTTATTGTATCTCACTATCTATTTAAGAAAGAACATGCTCTTGTTGAAGATCTTCATCTCTATTATGTTCTCTTGAAGGTTATGACAATCACAATGTCTTGTTTGATAAATCAAGAAATAATAGTTTTTAAGTTGAATCTGTTGGCTATTGATTTTTTAACTTATTAGTGCTACAAATACAAAAAAATTACAAAAAAGAATAGAAAATAGAATGCAATCTTCATTGAACATCCTTTCTTTTATAGCTAAGATTTGATTGATTCTTCATCTTTGTTTTGATATTGTTGTTAATGAAAAGTTTTGACCTTCTCTTTTGTATTTGCAAGATTCTTTGTTGGCTCTCATATGCATTTAGTATTATCATGTTTATACCAATAAATAAGATATTCTTGCATATTTCAATGTCACCTTGAATCTAAGATTTCTTTCACTTCAAACTCTTAATTACTATCTACTTCTATAAGAAGAGGTTGCATTTATCTTCTTTTTGAAATATTTACTATCTAAAATGGCTTAAGAAGATATATATGTGTCAAGGATAAGAATTCGATGAAAAAGCAATT